AATTAATATTATAATTATCTAGAAACCGCAGTCCAGAACACATGAGATTTGTGGAGTCATTGCAAAGCTGAACTCTTATAGAGTGAAAGATTTTCACCTGGATGTGACTGTGTAACACTTTCAGTGAATTTAAATAACTTGTGTGCAAGAAATTCTAAAGTTTTTAACAAGATAAATTATTTTTAATCATCTGTACATTTAAGAGTATAGGCCATTTTGAGGGATGTAAACAACAACAATGGTCCTTATGTATTTCCTCTTTTACGTTTTTATTTCTATAGCAAAAAGAGCCACATATTGATAAATAATGTTATAATTGCTGTTTTAACAATAAGTTATGATTGAATTGCCTCTTGTTACAGTTTTGAAATAGTTTGAAAACAAGTAGGAAATGGGCCAATGACATGATGAAATAGTCCATAGTGTTATTTTACAATTGATTATTCAATTTTTGTTTCACGATACTGTTAGACTTTACAGAAAAGCATAGTGTGCTTTTTAAAAACTTTACTGATCTACCAAATGATTGATCATATTTTGAGTGTTTTAAATTGTGACTGTTAAAGTCATTAAAAGAATGCACACAGCATTGTTGGTTTACAAGAAAATATAATCCTGTTGCACTATACCCGACTTCATTTTGGTTTTATTGTAAAAAAAGAAAAAAAAGAAGAAAACATGTTAAATGAGAATCTAATATATTTTATGGCATACTTCAAAAAATAAAGATGATTTAGTATTAAAAATGTTTTCTTTTGATTATTTTTTAAAATAAATTGGTCTTACACTTCATATTTTTAGATTTTTCATAGTCAATGTATTAATTCCGGTACTTTTACCAGAAACCAACATATCTACTATTTTAAAAAGGCTGATATTTTAGAAATTAGGGGAGGTGTTGAAAAAATGCATTGAGTGTGTTAGCTAGCAACATTAGGAGTTATGAAATACATTCCAAACATTTCTTTCATGGTGAGGCAGTTAAAAGGTTAAAATGTGTATCTTTTGTTGTGTATTTATCTATGTTTGTTATTTATTCATTATATACTTTAAGCAGATTCCCTCCCCAACGAAATCATCCAATCAATATAAAATTCTAAAGTCTTGAAGAGGTATCTTGTGAAATTATATTCATTTCACAATTTATATAGCAGAAAAACAAAATATCGCTGTTTCAATATTATGCAACCTTAAAAGAAACATAGAGAATGGTTGTCTATTCATCTGTTAATAAAGGACATTGCTTCATTGAAGCGTTGTTGAGCTGAGAAGTGATGATAGAGCTTGTAAAGTGAGATCAGACACAATGAAGGGTGATCAAAGCATGCTGATGTCTTGCTTTACTCCACCTAACTGCTGGAATGGGGTTTAAAAATATCAGCAGAACGAGTTGAGAGTCTTGTACGTTTTGGAGGTGGTAGATGTATTTGGCCAGTAAATAGAAGAATGTGTCCTTTCAGGCATTTTATGGCTCCTAGAACTATATTTGAGGTTCTCTCATTGTGCTAAAGTTCACACCTCAGTGGGTCTTTTGTGCTCAGAGGCTGTTTGCTTTATGCTCAAACCTACTTATTCCCATGGGTTATATTTTGTGTTTTTGTGTCCCACCATTATTCTGAATTCCTGAACCCATTCTGTGCCAATTTTGTGTTATTCCATTTCTTATGTGTTGTTGGCACTGCTTTAAACTGCAAAAACATATTTTTGGGCCTAAAAAGTATTAAGTTCATTGAAATATTGTATTATAGGTAGTCATGGGCTAGTATAGGATTCTGACGTTATGAAAATCTTGAATAAAAATATCAAGGTTTCAAGGTATTGTGATTACTGCTCTATAATATGTGCTTTTTAAATGTCTACCTTTTTCCCCTTTGAACAATATATTTTATGGTAAGAAACATTGAAAATATTTTGGAGCTGTAAACATGTCAGGCTAAATAATTCAAATAAATCATTGACTTCTGCTGTCTTCATTAGAGTCAAAAGCACAGATTTCTGTACGATTTAAAATGGCGTCTTTGGATAGTTAATGTTCTTAAAATGTCTTTGATGTGACCCTGTAAAACCTGCAGAAGCCCTATTTCAATTTCTGATTCTAACCTTTTAAATCTGATCTCAACAATTTCAGTCACTGAAACCTGCAAAGTAATTTCTTTTCTCATCTGCGTGTTTAAATTCCAAAGATGTACAAAGCACAACAATAGGCATTTAGTCAGTATAATGGAGGACTGAATTCTTACCTTGGTGACATTGTGCTATTATTATTTCTGCTGTTCTCTCCTATTGTAGCAGATGAGTTTCTTTTATATGCATTGTTCTGATGCTTGTGTAATGAATGACTAAAGTAGAATTAAGGCTACTGATGTTCAGTGCAACTTAAGACCCCTATATATTTCAAACAAAGAAAGAAGATATTTGCTTGGGACTTCAAAACAGCTTGCCAAATTGAACTTTCTGAACTTGTAACAGTGCTTCCCACACATTGGGCCGTCCAGGTATATTAACGACCGCTCAAGTATATTTAATGACACATTGTTGTTCACTATTATTAACATCCTTTTACACTTTTTGTATCAACTCAATATAATCAAACATCCACGATTGATTAAGTAGTGGAAAATCTTCTCTCATTTACCAGTGTCATTCTGTGCTCTCAAGACTAAGAATCATGCCGACAGTTTCACATGCTCTTTAGAGACGTGCATTTTTGGGACTTAAAAAATTTGTCCGGCCTTTCTACATCTCCAGAAATGTCCGGAATTCAACTTTTGCTTTTGCTTTCTAAAGCTTGTATGCATTTTGCATTACTCTTTTATAAAAGACTACTTCTTACCTGGTTTTACAGCTGACAGCGTATGCACATCCGCAATACTGAGAAAAATTAAATAATAGATTCATTAATCCAGATGCCTCAGAAAAACTTAGCTATACTCTGAGAGGATGAAATGACATGTAAACTGGCTGCAAAACATATCTACACAGTAAGAAACGGTTATTTAACAAATTTGTAGTCTTAACAGTTTTCTTTTACTTTAACCCATTGAAAAGAAACAGTCATAATAAATACAATTATTATTAAAATTAAATTATGTTTTGTTTGATAGTTAACTTTTTATGTGATGTGGATAAATGGTGTTTCAATCAGGCTACCACCGCAAGTATATTTCAAACCTATGGGAAGCACTGGGTAAACATCATTTCTCCTTTGCAATTATGCAGTAGTCTGTTATAAATACACAGTAAATTACTAAAGTACAAAGTAATGTAAAGTAAAGGAAAAATTCTAATTAAAGTCTCACCTGAGCTGACATTGGGTAGAGTAACTGGTGCAGACATATCTACATTGCACTTTTTATTTTTTTCTAAATGTTTGTTTACACATTGCTTATTTTTGTTGTGCTTTTTGTGCTTTTTTTTAACAATATAGGACACTTTGTGTGTATTTGACCTCTACATCTAAATGTTGTGTTCATTATGCACAATATTATCACAATATTATTTTACAACATGACATTACTCCTCACATTATTTTAATGAGAACGAGACATTCCCAAAATTAGCATCTTATCTTGCTGCCACCATCTTTGCTTTTTGCTGTCATGCTTATACAAAGGTGTCACAAAACACGACTTTAGAGCCCCTTGTTGTTAAAAAAAATCTTTCTTTTTGAGCATTCTGAATAATCAAATAATTACATCATAATGACACTTGAATAATCAAATGGAAACACCTCTGAGTGTTACATTATATTCCACCATAACAATATAAACCACTGCTCAGGTACTTAAACTTCTTAGGCCCCGTTTACGCTAATACATTTTAGTTTTAAAATGCATACCTTTTGCTATGGTTACGCCTTTCGTCCACACTACCCCTGGGTTTTTGAGCCCTAAAAACAGAGCATTTTTAGAAACGGTTTTAATAGGTTTTGGCATTAAAATGCTGCTGCTCGTGTCAGTGCGGATGGGGGAAAATGGAGACATCTGACAACAGAGACGTGGCTGCAGACATTCAACCAATCTGATTGGGGCTTTTTCTCAATATCAAGTTTTTGCACGTTTAACATGGAAAACAAACTCCAGAAGGCATGTCGAGTAAATCTTTCAAAGGGAGCATTGTACTTTTATAACGTCATTTGCATCACCTTGGTTATGTTGTTGTTCTTAACAACAAAGTGAAAACATGATATGAGGAACTGCCTATTTTCATTTTAATATTAGCAACTTAACAGACACCGAAATTGTTAACACATTGTGTAGCTACATATTTATTTGACCGTCATAACATAACTGCCACCCTTCATTTTCATTTAAAAATATGAAACGTACCCTCTTTTTTGCTGAATTTTAGTTTTAATACTCAATAATGTAAATCAGTAATACAATAAGTTTATACAATATAAGAAATAAAGGCAAGCATACAGTAAAATTTGCAGAATCAGTGTACGTGGTTATATAAAATAATATACTATCTTTGCGATCAGCCAAAACCCATTACCTGAGAACAAGAAATAGATTTAAAAGACCATAGAGCCATAAGATATAGACAATATGAATTAAATGTTACATTTTACAACTATAGTGAGAAGAGATATAGCGGTGTATCCTTGATGAGCTTTCTGATGTGCGCTGCTCTCACCTGGGGAGGTGTGCTAAGCACCTGCTGACTGCCTGGAGCTCAGACATCCGCATACGCTGCAGCGCATGACAGAGTGCATGTGTGGTCACGTGATGTGCGCTTTCAGCTGCGTAGATCTTTTCAGAAACAACTAGATGAATTGCCAGTGTGGATCATTTTTGTTTTAAAATGCCATTTTAATACGAAAGCGTATTAGTGTAAACAGGGCCAACAACAAACTTCATTGTGAATGTATAAAGAATTTTTCATGCATAACATGTTGACTGACCAACTTTCTTGTAAGAAAACATGTTATTTAGTTGATTTATTATATATACTTTGTTGTTATTTTTTATTAATATGCATTTTCTTGACCCCCACAGGTACGTTAAGACCAGTCCGAAGGAGTTTCTATGACCCCACCTCAGCACCAGGCCAAGGCTGGATATGGGAGTGGGAAAATGACACCGGATCCTGGATAACTTATGACATGGAGGTGAGCATTGCATTGCAAGCAGCATGGGACCGACACCAGCCCTGGCTAGACATGACATCGATGGGCTTTTGCTACTTCGTGGACTTCAAAACTATGATCCAGTTTAACAGGCAAACACAGCGGCAGAGGCGCATCCAGAGACGCTCAGACATGGTTTATCCACTAGTCTCTGGGCCTCTGCCAAAAAACTCACAGGCTTGGGGTTCTGCCCTGGGTGCTGGAGGCATTGCTAAAGGGGTTATATCTGGTGCGGGGTCAACAGGGGCTCTTCTTGGAGTAGGCGTTTCTGGTTCTACCCTCAGCCGTAAAGGAAGTGCAGTTTACCCAAGCGGGACACTTTCAGTATCGTCGCTTGCTCCTCTTGGACAGCCATGTGCCTGCCAGCAGTGCATGCTGGTGTTGAGTGTAAAATCCAATGGCACCTCATCACAGACTCTAGGACGTGCAACAAAGCCAAACAGTCCTAAATCCAACTTTGGGACACTTTCATCCTCTTCCGCGTCCATGTCTGTTTTGAACTCTTATTCTCAAACGCTTCCACATGGCACGTCACTAAAGTCTTCACCCTCAGAAGAAGCTAAGAATTTTGATCAGTCGTTGTCCCTTCTAACATCGGGCACTGCCAGTCTCTCAGTTTCGTCTAGCCGGCCAAGGCTTCCATCTTTACCTCCACCTCCAAATCTGCCATCACTGAATCAGCAGCCCCCATCTGCCTCAGGCTCATCGTCCTCAGCTTCATTTGTGCCAACTGCCGTTCTGGTGAACACCTCAACCAACCCCACATCATCCACAGTTTTGACGTCATCCACAACAACCCTGCCCTCTCAACGCTCCACTGCCTGTGCTGCTCCTCTACCACCTCGTGCCAGTCTGGCAGGGCTTAGTCGGCCTGCTTTGCAGAGAATTGCCATGGCACAGTCACGGGCTCTTATTGCTTCTGGGTGAGAAATGCCATTTTATCTTTTTCCTTATTATTGGTTGTAGTTTATGTCAAAATATTAGTGTAAAATACTCTATTTAATAATTATTATTTTAAAGATGGAATGGGCTGATCAAAAAGTGGCAGTTAAAGCACACATAGTCTTTAAAAAGACTCTTATATTTTATTATAAGGCTGGGTGATTTGGCCTAAAATTCAAATCTTGATTCAACAACTTGAACACTTTGACTCGATTACGAATAATGGATGATTATTTTATTTTATTTATAGTTTTTTTTGTCATCGAGATGTGCAGTTACATTTTTTGAGAGGTGCATTCGTATGCGGCGCTTGATTCAGAAGTATAAACCAGACGTAAAACTTTAAAGCTTGACTCCACAAGTAGTAGGGAAAGTAATGTAAAATTGGATTGATCATAGGTTCTGAATGTTGATTTCGATTACTTTTCAATTTATTGCCCAGCCCTATTTTATTATTATGTTTTTTTTATTTTATTTGATAAAAATGTATCATAGTTTCTTTTAAAATTAACATTGATTAAGTTGTGTATCAAATTCTGTCATCATTTACTCGCTTTTTACTTGTTTCAAACCTTTGTGAGATTCTTCTGTTAAACACTAAAGGAGAAGTTTTAAAAAATGCTGAATATCTGTAACCACTGACTTCCATAGTGATGTTTTCAGCTTTCTGTAGTATATCTTCCTTTATGTTGAACAGATGAAAGAACTCTTTAAGGAACTCATAAAGATCTCATGAACCACTTGATGGTTTGTAAATAGTAAATATTTGAGTTTCTTCAGTTACAGTAACAGTTACAGTAACAGTTGAAGAAACAATAACAGTTTCTTCTCCTTAGTTTCAGGGGGCTCTATCATGCACCCTGCACAATATGGCACCAGGCATGGCACAAGTGGTTTTTTGGTATTTTCAGACTGGCACAGTTATCATTTTCATGTTTTGCACAATGATAAAATAGAGCCCAGTATATTGTGCGTCAGAGAAGTGACCAAATATGATATGTGCCCTGTAATGTTGCAGCCTATACTAAATATATTGATATTTTAAATGGTAATTATGTTTATTAATATTTTTGTTCTCGATATTATGGTGTGCTTAAAAAAATAAATTAAACCTCTTATGACCCAAAAAATTTGAATTTTAGTACTGTTTATATTATATTATATTATATTATATTATATTATATTATATTATATTATATTATATTATATTAAGGCTGGGCTATACAGGAAAAAAATATCATGATATAATGTTTAATATAATTTGATATTGATAATTATTGAATATTTTTTTACAATCCATTTAGGGATAATTTTTTTTTATTTAACATTTATTTTTATTTATTATGGTGTGCTTAAAAAAATAAATTAAACCTCTTATGACCCAAAAAATGTGAATTTTAGTACTGTTTATATTATATTATATTATATTATATTATATTATATTATATTATATTATATTATATTATATTATATTATATTATATTATATTATATTATATTATATTATATTATATTATATTATATTATATTATATTATATTATATTATATTATATTATATTATATTATATTATATTATATTATATTATATTATATTATATTATATTATATTATATTATATTATATTATATTATATTATATTATATTATATTATATTATATTATATTATATTATATTATATTATATTATATTATATTATATTATATTATATTATATTATATTATATTATATTATATTATATTATATTATATTATATTATATTATATTATATTATATTATATTATATTATATTATATTATATTATATTATATTATATTATATTATATTATATTATATTATATTATATTATATTATATTATATTATATTATATTATATTATATTATATTATATTATATTATATTATATTATATTATATTATATTATATTATATTAAGGCTGGGCTATACAGGAAAAAAATATCATGATATAATGTTTAATATAATTTGATATTGATAATTATTGAATATTTTTTTACAATCCATTTAGGGATAATTTTTTTTTATTTAACATTTTTATTTTTATTTACCAACATTACTTAGTCAAATATTTTTAATAGTCAAAAACAAAAAAATAAACAAAAATATCTCGTCCCTCTTGTCTTCTAATAAAATAAACATAAGTGTTAAAGAGACTCAAACTTATAAAATGTTACAAAGTGTGTGCAATGGTAAAGTGTAATACTATACAATCAAAGCAAACTTTAGGTTTTAGGCAAAGGTTTATCAACATCTGTAAGGTGTCTATAATAATCACAGGGTAAACCAAAAACTCTATCAACAAAACAAATTATGATAATCAAATCTGAGCTTTCAAGTAAAGGAACCAAGCATCATTATTCAAACACATATTGCAACATTACAAATTGCGAAGTTGGATGACTACATTACCCCCTAAGCTAAACAATCTTTCAGATGATGTGCTAGTGACCGGGATGCACAAAAAAAGAAACCAAAAAGCCACTCTGGTGATATACTTGCATCCTTTTTTATTTACAATCTCTTCGCTGCTGCTAGCCACTGCAATGCGAACTGGTCACCTGCACGCCGCTTGCATCATGCCAAGCCGTGCGCCTCGATTAGAAATAACCCCATAAGCTTATTTGCATTCCCTCAAAAGCGCCTGCTCAGCAGCCACTTTTTTTATTACGCTATAGTGCTTCAAAACGAAACTTCATCGTTATTGACAATGGTGTTCAACCGTTTTATCAGCCAAGCCCTATATTATATTATATTATATTATATTATATTATATTATATTATATTATATTATATTATATTATATTATATTACTATATTTACAATAAATACGATCATTATAATGCTCCTAATTATTAAATACCACAGTATTTCAATGTTAGTGACATATTTCACAAACAACCAGAATGCACACAAAGACTTGTGGTAGGAAACCTTTGCTAACTGAAACAGGAAAAACAGACTTTATCGCTTCTAATCACCAGTATATAAAGTAAAGCCTTCATCTGTGTCAGCTACACTCGTGTATTAGTGTGTTCATGTTTTTTTCCCTCCCCTGTGTGGGAGTGTGTTTCTCACGTTTCTCACACTGCTAAATCAACCATGTCTGCACTGTTTGATGACCATCTGGGGACAGAATGGTCTTATTCGTTCCCTCCCCTCCCTTTTTTTATGCCTATAGCCGTTTCTGTGGCTTTTCCCGCACCTCTCAATGGTGATTTCGTGTTCACGCTGGGTTTCTCCAGCAACCTTTGTTGACACGACATGGGCTGGTCTGCATTAGCAACACAATGCTGTCTCGCTAAAGCATCTGACATGGTGGAGAGTGTGGGCATGTCTATGTTAGGAAGAAGTTGGGGTAACCAGCAAAAGGTTTTGACATGGACTCTTGTAATGATTGGGTCCCAGTGTTTTCTAAAGCATTAAACATGACTTTTGGTCAGGAGTGGGCAGGGTGGTGGTGGTGGTAGCAGCATTTAGCTACAGCTGAGATTAAACTGCATGATCAGAAATGCATATATTCACTCGTATGCAGCTAGTATTAATGATAGCTGTACTATATATATTTATCAATAGTTTTTTACAAGGCTATATTTTGCTAAAGCAAATACAAAATGAAACTATCATCTAACACAGGAGCTACTCTTCAAATGCAGGAGAACTTTGCAAGTGTGTTGCACTTTCAAATGGTATGATCTGTTTTAGACTTCGAGCCATCTGGAGACATGGAGCAACAGTTGTTGAGCATGTGTTGAGAGAAAACAAAGAGACAAGTCTGTGTTAGAGGCAAGATCAATGGTCACTGGAGGTCAAAAGCTTCCCCATTGGCCTTGCTCAAACACCCATCTACTCTCCCATGTCAGACACTCCTGTTTTTTTCAATGGGAAACAAAGCAGGCATATAAATAACAGCTACTGCAGCAGCGTTGATCATTTGATGAGATGCATTAGCAATTTGTCATGTCATCATTTTAAGTAAGCGCTCAACAAGTCCTCCTTTTACCACATAACCACTTCAGCTTATTTGGTTCAGTTTTTGCTTTCGTGAGAAAATGTTGCATGTAGGCGTGCCTTAAACGGAACTTCCATTCAGTGTGGAGGTATACATGAGTTTGTCAGCCTTGTTCACCTGTTTATTTGCTCCATTTACATTAGAAACTGAGATTAATGAGGGATTAAATTGGTTTATCTATCCAGTTAAGCAAGGGGATGTTACTAAATCCAGGTTTTGATCTGAAATTTTTTGAGCTTGTCCACTTTTGACAACATCTATTGGTAGTCATATACACATTCCATCAGATCGCTTTCATAAAGTAAAACACAAGTGGTCAAATTCGTTCAAACAGCTATTTTCTGTCTATTGTGGCACATGAGCATAAGAGAAAGTGAGTATGTTTACATGAACACCAGTAATCCGGTTTTAATACAATTAAGACAATACTCTGGTTAATTGATTGATTTTATTGGACAATTTGAACAAAAATATACAAACAAGTCCAGTTAGACTTATTCATGCATCTTTTAAAAAGTGTCGGGGATAAAATACACAAAAAAAGCCACAGGCTTATTTCCATTGTGGTTCTCGAAATTCGTAAAAAATGAATGAGCAAATCATACATGGAGTGCAAGCATCAGCAGCTCAGCAACTAGGCATAACAAAATCCTCAACTTCAACTGTAAAACAACGACTTGTAAGAGTCTACTATGTAAACAGCGATTTTTGATTCATTTAATACGATTAAGGTCACAATCGAACTAAACAGAAATCGAATTTAGACATGTGGAGTAGGGCTGTGCAATTAGGGTTGTAACGGTATGAATTTTTTACGGTATGATAATCGTCTAAAACAATACCACGGTTTGACGGTTTCGCGGTATACGATATGTTACAAATGTTACAAAATAATAGAACAGTGAAGCAAATTTGACTTTTTCCAAATAATATATTTTCAGTTACTATAAACAACACCACTTACAATGAACAAATAAAAAAATAAGAAAATAATAAATAATGTGTCAAAGTCCAAATAAAGTCCAAATAAACATGGTGCAAATCCTCAGTAAAAAAATAGATATAAATATTTACTATACTATAAATAGTTACATAACGAAACTAGATTCAATATGGAACATCTTTAGGTTTTATGTGCCAGCATGGATATGGTTGTCTGTGGATATGGATTTGGATATGGTTGTCTGCAATGCAGACAAACAGCTGCACCTTCATTTGCGTCTTTTGAAAACAGCAAGAGCAGCAGTTCGTCTTTGCTGTGTCACTGTTTTGTCATGTTTCTGTGCTGCTGTGCATGCAAAAGTACTTAGTATGAGAATTATTTTATGCAAAACTTTTTTTTGCGTTTTATTTAGCCGCGCATAAATGTATGCCTATCTCTCATTCTGTGTTGTTCAAAAAGCTCGTTTTTGGTCCACAAACAAAAGCGAAACCTATGCTTATTGGTTTTGATATAGCGAGTTTGAACCAATCTGGGCATGGAGGAGGGACAATGCATCAATGTATCGTGTCTGGTTTGTCCGGAGACACAGTGACGAGTGTTTCTTTGTCAAATCAGCGTTGTCAAATTTTGATGACGTAACCGCACTGATTCTGGAGCCTCCGGAGCCGCGAATGTTATGTGATACAGCACTGGAAAGCTGAGATTCTCTGCTTTATGCCAATCTTTGAATTGTATGAATCGGATCAGCGGATCAAAAGTTATTAAACATTTAAGAGCAATACTTAATTTTAGCCGCGGGCGGCTGTCTCGGTCTTTAAGGGTTAAAACCGTTGATATGCAATTGTTCATGGTATGATAATCGTGCACGTTCAAATCGTGGTAGACCGTCATACCGGTATATTGTTACAACCCTATGTGCAATTAATCGAAAATCCAGATTCGAATTCGATTTTCGCTTCTAACAATTATGTAAAACCATTAATATGAGATAAACGATTATTGCATTATAAACGGCCCCTTTCCAGTTATACACATTTGTCGCTCTGCAAAGCTCAGTTCCACGTGAAAATGACTAAAGCATGTGCTGTAATGTAACGAAACGTTTGCAGCATAGGTTGCACATCATTCATTGATGTATGTTCGAATCATTCATATTTTTTAAACCGCGAAAGAGCACATGCTATTGTGTGTGTGCGCGCCACGCTTAGCCTCGGGCAGGCTCGGAGACGAGCAAAGCACACACATCTAACGGCATCTTAATGTGAGCACTTTAATGGTCAAATGCATGCAAATTTGTGTCAGAGCGCAGTGCTTAGTGATTATTCATATTAACTCTCGTTTGTGTAATAAACAAACAAGTTGAAAATCAAAAGACATGTGAGAGAAAAAGAGAAACCATATCAGAGCCGCCCTATTCTTAAAGTGACAGCCTGCAATATTCCTGCTGCCCACTACTTTTATTATTAATCAAACAACAAAGGACAAAATTCTCCAAAAACTCACTGCTCTTGACTGAAGGACTTTTGTAGCTAAAGTTTTTTTCTTACAGTGAGGATGCTTAAAGCTTAGTTTAAACATAATAGATTTAATAACTTATTTCTAATAACTGATTTCTTTTATCTTTGCTATGATGACAGCACATAATATTTTACCAGATATTTTTTTTTAAATACAAGCATCCAGATTAAAGTGCGATTTAAAGGCTTAAATAGTGTAATTAGGCAAGTCATTGTATAACAGTAGTTTCCTCTTTAGACAATCAAACATATATATTGCTTAAAGGGACTAATAATATTGAGCTATTAAAATAGGCTTCAAAATATTTAAACCTGCTTTTATTTTAGCTGAAATAAAACAAATAAGACTTTCTCCAGAAGAAAAAATATTATTGGTAATGCTGTGAAAGATTCCTCTGTTAAACATAATTTAGGAAATATTTATATATATATATAAAAATCATAGAAGGGCGAATAATTTTGACTTCAACTGATAATCGTTTTGAACAATCATGATTACAATTATGACCAAAATAATCTTGATTATGTGGAGAATGGAGAATTTTAGTCACATTATTGACATGCAGTACAGACATGTAAACGCCAAATCAAACTATTACTGTCATAATACATTATATTCTAAACACACATGGCTGTTTGACACTATTCTCTGCACCTACCGAGTCAGAGAAGTGCCACAGACACCTGCATCATGAAATGCGGAGGGATTTTTTTTCGGCATGGGCTATTAAATTCCATTAAAACAGGGGTCTCAAACTCAAATTGGCGGGGGGCCATTTCAGTGGCTGACAGATCATAGAAGGGCCGTTTTAACATTCAAACACAAGAAAAAAACGGAAACCAGACATAATTGATGCGTCTTAGGACAACAGACTCAACATTTATATTTCAAGCATTACCTGTCACCAGTGCTAATGCAAATCAGCACGTTTATGGTGTCACACAGCTGCTGAAATATATCTGTGGTTGTTATGTGGTGCTTATGGCCCAGTGTTACACACACACTCAGTCATTCTTCCACAGAGTATAACAGTCAAAACTAGCTTTTTGTTTCCTGTTGTACATATTGAGGGGTAGTTTAAATTGCTATGAATACTACAAATAATAGGCATAATAATAATAATGATTATTCTGTTCCAACCAATTGTATTGTCCCCATAGCGTAAGAACAGCAGAAAGCAGTTTGGTTAACTTAAGTGACTTTACAGGCAATTGTTCTTCTCAATATCTTTCTTTCTTTTTAAAATTACAACAAAGAGGTGAAAAGTATGTACATATTCACATTTACTTTAACAAGTTCAATCCAATTAGCAGTGCATTTTTACTAATGTACATAGTTTTTATGCAAATTTTAATAAGCATATGAGGAAAATCCATTAAATGAGACCATTATCGAATTTTAGCAAAATTATCATATTTGTGTGTAAGCCATGTGTGGTTAACACTTTAACACTATACTTTTCAAAATAAAAAGGCCTTAAATGTAAAAAATAAAAATCCTTAAATGTACTTGAAAATTAAAGTAGTGCGAGCAAATACCACATACGAGACCACTGCGGTTTTAAACAGAGAGGTAAAATTAGCGGTTGTATTCTTTGTTTTCATAAATAAATCTTGCTGTGATATGCCTTTTCTCTTTTGTACCTTATTTTTCATACTAATTTAGCCAGGAGTTTGATTATATAAAGCAAAGTAGACATTTGATACTTGGCCGAAGATGTCACAATGCTCTTTTGCTTAATTATCATATGACAGTTGATGTTGGAAGCCGAACAATGGTTTGTGCATGTAAGTCCTTAAACAAGAACTTCAAGTTGAACTCTTGAAATTCAATATCATTTCATTATCAGAAGAAGGTTCAGAGGAAGTAAACAGAGTATTATTAAGGCTATTATTATGTCAGGTTGTCATTACAAAGCTGTGATAAAAAAGCAGTATAATTATTGTAATATCTATTTGAATGATTATTGAAAAGTAATAATAATAATAATCAGTATTAGTTGAAGATTATCTTTACCTTTATTTATTTGTTTGTCTTCTCCAGAAACTAAATGAAATATTTTAGCCTCTAAAGTTTCAGAAATTTGATAGATTTTTCCTGTTCATATCATGACTGTTATAAAACAAGCTGTTGTCTATGAAGCATATGCAACTTGTAAAAATAGCCTAGAACTTGAAAAGATCTCTATCAGGTAGGTACTATGCTTATTTCCTTTGGTTATCACTTTGTAATTGGGCCAAAGCTGCAATGGCGTAACAAAACCAGACTGACACTGTGTGGAAATATACACTTATCAGCCAGGTTGGATCCTCTTTTGCCTTCAGAACCGCCTTAATCCTTCGTGGCATAGATTGAACAAGATACTAAAAATATTCCTCAGAGATTTTGGTCACTCAGTTGCAGCAGATTTGCCGGCTGCACATCCATGAATATTCCAGTAGATCAGTAGTTTGTGAAATACTCAGACCAGCCCATCTGGCACAGACATCCATGCCACGTCCAAATTCACTTCCATCACCTTTCCTCCCCATTCTGATGCTCAGCTACAGCAGATCGTCTTGACCATGTCTACATGACGAAATGTATCTAGTTGCTGCCATGTGATTAGAAATTTGTGTTAACAAGCAGTTGGACTGGTGTACCTAATAAAGTGTATTGTACCTGATGAAATCACTGTGCAGATGTACTTAGACCTCTATTGGGCAGGATTAAATTATTTGTGAAAATTCCACTTAAGAAGCACATCTGTGCCACTTTTAAAGAATAAATCTGGCATTAGTAATGTTGACAGAGTAATTGGTCTGTTGAATTGCTATTTGATAGTGCTTGTTTGAGTTTTTGAGGATATTGGAGAACATACTGACAGACAGTAGTTAGTTTGTTCTTTAACCTTTAAAGAACTTTTATTTTTTTTCTCCTATTTTCTCTTAGTGTGCCAACGGTACCAGTGAAGAATCTTAATGGCTCCAGCCCTGTCCAACCGGCTTTAGCTGGTAAGAAAAGACCCGATAAATGCACTATTAGCAATGGTTTCAAAAATGCCAACAGTGCATCACAAATTTTAATTTTAAAACACATAAATTATGATGCTTTACAGGTATTACTGGTATTCTGATGAGTGCAGCGGGACTACCTGTATGTTTGACTCGTCCTCCAAAACTAGTTCTACATCCCCCACCTGTCAGCAAGAGTGACATAAGACCCATTCCTGGCATTGGGCACTGTTGCCGCAAGACCACCAAAAAACAAGCCCGAAAAGGTAAGAGTCCGTGGGTATACACTAGGGGGTGTTCACACTTGATGTTTGGTTACATGTACTTTCACACTGTCATTTTTAGAACCAAAAAAAAATCATGGCATGTGTTTGTGAAAGAACTAAAGACATTTGAAAACAATGCTGTGCTGGGCGAAATGTACTCCTTGTACCTGCGTTTATATTTATTTATTTATTTATTTTATTTCAAGATTTTTTTAAAGCACAACAGAATGAACAACATTTTCTCAGAATGTGCACACTGCAAGTAAATAAAATATGAATTCCATACAAGTGGGTTCAGCTGTTGGAGATACAAAATGTAGTGTTACATATTACACGTTTCAGGTCTAAGTATCCGAGAAAGGGTTCTCAGGTAGCAAAGAATTTTCCATTAGAGTTGGACCTCATAAATCGGAGCCTTTCCAAGTGGATAACAGAGGATATATCCATTAAACAGATTTAAAAAGAAGGAGGTAAAAGAGATTTCCAGTTTTTTAGTATTAGCCGCTTGGCCACAGTCATGCCTAGAGTGAGGGCTTTTTGGAAATGTTTTGGAAGGGTGAGAGAGTGTTTTGAAACACCAAAAACAGCACGAATGTTATAGGCAAAACCAAAATGCATGTAAGCACCTTAATCATATTGTTGTCTTATTGTCAGATTAAGGCCAATCATTCGATTACCGATGCCCATGTAAACGTAGTCACAGTTGTACCAAAACAAAGATTATTAACAAAATTGCTGTTGCTATCTTTTTCATTTGCTATCTTTTTCGTTTGCCATGTAACCTCAGTTCATTCACGCAGTAGTACTTGGTATTTGAACATGACCAAATAATTGGGAAAAGTCTCAAACACAAGTTTTCACAGGAGATTCATTTGAATGTATTTTAATACTAGGTGGAAATGGTAACGTGTCTTATCTAATCAGCGATTTGATCACTGAAAGCGTATTAATACCAGATACAAATATAGCCTGTGTTTACTTGTCAATGTCAGATGCACCTGTCTCTAAAAGTTACACCACAACTCCTATTTTCTGTGTCAGCTGACATGTTTTCTTTTTATTTGGCATCAGAGCAATTTTGTTATTTGAGTTTTGGAAGGAAGGGAACATGACAATGAGGAAATGTAACTAATGATATTTAGGTCAGCTTATGTAGCTGACAAATAAACCACCGGTATTGCATTTTGCATTTGTGGAAAAACACTTATTCTGCTAAAATAAAATAAGGTATTAGATGTATGAGATGGGAAGATTGATTTACACACACAAAGAGGAAATGTTATTGGCAAAACCAAAATGCATGAGCTTTGGTGTGCTCTGTAATTTTACACTTGTCACACTTAGGTGAAATAGAGGAAAACATTTTGTGTAATTTGGTTTTGGTACAGGGCAGGCGGTGCATAACTGTGAACTGTTTTAACTGGTGCCTACTGTTTAACGTACAGGAACATAGTGCAGTCAGGCACTTATCCCATAGTTCCTCTGATATCTCAGTTCCAAGTTCACCCACCCAAACCAGTTTAAATTTCTCATTAGAAGTTGAGACAAATGTTTCAAACAGCCCAACACAGTTTGAAATTTAACTGAGGAAGGTTCAGGAAGACATAAAAAAATACATGTTATCAGGGATAAATTCAAAATTACAAATTTTAAATTTCACACAATGCCTTACTTGTAAGAAATGTGAATGGGGTAGAGTAAATTTTTCTCTCAACTGACTGAATGATTCAAATCCGTTATGAAATATAAACCCTTCTCCTTGCAAACAAAGAATATTCTATCTGTTGTAAAAAATCGCATATTGGTGGGTATACAGAGGTCTCTGGTAAGGACAAGACTTTCCTCACTATGTGCGTTTATATTTATGAAATGAAATCCATTGAGTTCTTTTAAAATATGTGAAAGAATCAAAGCAGCACCAGGAAGTTTATTGTCAGTCTCCTACCGTTATATGGTCTCATCTTGATTTTTATTATTTTTTTTGGTTGGTTGTTTTGAGATCCTTAGATGTGTTGCATAATGCATTTATATTTCAGTTGACGGAGCAATCACATTAGATAAACATTGTACAGCCATTTTTTTATTACTGTTGACTCTACTCACATTCTCACCATAAGAGATTTGTTTTCCAGGTAAAACCCCAGAGGAAGTGGTAAAAAGGTACTTGCAGAAGGTCAGGAGTCCACCAGAAGAAGTAAGGCATCCTTATTTTATTATTTCCCCAATCTGTTTGTGATTTAAACTACTTATTAAATTGTTTTTGAGTTCAATATCTGCTAAATAAAGTCAATATCTTTGACTTTTATATATGCTAAATGAACTACATGTCAACTATAGAGCTTTTGTAATAAATATATTTTGTATTATATATAGAAATCAAACACTCTAAAATGATAACACACTCTGGACATAATATCTTGCAAAATTTAAAATGTTGCTTCCTATTGGCTTGAAGCGACAGTTCATTCAAAAATGAAAATCCTGTCATCATTTACTTACTTGTTCCAAACCGGAGCTTCTATATTCTGTTGAACTGATGATATTCTGAAGAAGGCTGGAAACCTGTAACCATCAGCTTCCATAGTAGTAAAAACAAATACTATGGAAGTCAGTGGTTACAGGTTTCTAGCTTTTTTAGAATTATCTTCTTTTGTGTTCAACAGAAAAAAGAAACCTAGACAGGTTTGGGTTAAGGGAAGGGTGAGTAAATGACAGAATTTTCATTTTAAGGTGAACTATCCCTTTAATGATGTAAAAAAATGATCTACAGTAACATCTATTGCTTAGGCTTTTATATCTACACGCTGAAAAAAATGGTTGTGTTGTATACAAGCTTTCTGTATTTTCTCCCAGGACTGTACTATCTGTATGGAGGCTCTAGGGGGCCCATCGGGCTATAAGGGTCCGGGTGTAGCAAGTGTTTCACGTGCAGAGTCAGTCGGACGACTGGCACAATGTGGGCATCTGTATCACCTGCAGTGTTTAGTGGCCATGTACAACAATGGCAACAAAGATGGCAGCCTGCAGTGTCCCACATGCAAAACTATATATGGAGTAAAGACAGGCAACCAGCCAGCCGGTAAAATGGAGTACCATGTCATCCCGCACTCGCTTCCGGGACACCCAGACTGCAAAACCATTCGCATCATCTACAACATACCGCCCGGGATACAGGTACAACAAAATGATGTCAAGTTTTTAATATATTTACAACAGTCTGCTATCATTGCATCCTGGTTGCATTTATATTTAGCCTTCACACCACCAATATTGTTTTTAATCGATTATCTTCTCTCCTGTCTCTCTCAAGGGTCCTGAGCATCCAAACCCAGCGAAACCTTTCACTGCAAGAGGATTTCCCAGACATTGTTATCTTCCAGATAATGAAAAAGGACGCAAGGTAAGTCCTATTATCACTTACATCTGTGCTGCCAATCAAAAGCGTTTTTCTTTTATATTTTTTAAAATGTATTTTTTATTAGCAATCTTGCATTTATTTAAACAGAAAAAAGATCGGTTTTTGAGTTTCTATGTTTTCACATTCTCTTTTTTATGTGATCCTTCGAGTCATTCGAATGAGTCATTTGGAGGATTCTTGTAACAAGAAACAGTGGTCCTTTGTTAATTGTGGGGGTTACGTTCTAAAAATAGCTTGCAATAGGTGAAATCCGTAAAGTAGTCCGCTTAATTAGATGTTTGAATATGATAAAAATCATCTTTTGTTAGCTGTTTGGACAGAACTGTAAGTATAGTATGTCCACACAGTCATACTGGGGGGCTATAAAGATAGTAAGTGTGTTTTTAAAAAACGTTTTTCCTGACGTTAAAATAGGATCCAAAATTCTCCAATTTTGAGGCCCACCGCAATATGATGTAGAAGTACAGTTTTCCCCACCTACCGAATTGATTGACAGCTGCATATTAACATGTCTTTGTAGTAACACGTATAATCATATCAACAAGACAGGACGTGCGCAAAGCAACTGGGATTAAAAGATCTGTTCTGCGCTCTGTGATCATCAGTCATCATGAAATGCGATCAAGAATGAGTTTTACAAGTTTAAAGCGTTTTTAAAACAGTGCAGGTTTGTTATGAATTACAGCGATTTTACCGTCTTATTCACCACAGCCGCATGTCAGGACAATTATAAAAAAAGATGCTTCAACCCCGTTTTGTGGATGTTAAATCAGGTTTATTTTGTACATTAGCATAACAGATATCCATACAGTAGTGGATATTAACGTGTATCGCGTCTCATTTGCCATGCAAAAACAGTGCAAAGCTTAATGCACGCACTGTGTTTGTGTGTGTGTCCACTGTGTGTACACGTGAACTTTCTAACGGCATTGTGTGTGACTTATCGTTGCAGAAAGGCAATTAACTCCACAACAAATACATCAAATAATCATTGGGAAAGGTCTTGCTGTAGAATTTCTCACAAACGTTACATGAGATCAGCTTACTTCATGTCTGTCACTGTGCTGTTTATCTGAGGGCGTACTCACACTATTTACAGTTTCCCTGAACTAGGCCAAAGCACGCTTGTCCCCTCTCCCGTCTCCCCCGACGGCCAGCACTCACATTACATTCAGGCCTGGGTGCGCTTACATCATCGATGATGCGCCTTTGCTCAGCACAGTGAAGATTTCTTTAGTTTTATCGGTTTAGACGTTTGGGATGCGGTGACACACAGTCTAATATTTCACCGAACAGATCAGCCACTTTTGACGCTCATAAACAATCATAAAGTCCTCGTGCCGCAAGAATTAGGAGGTTTGCTGAAGGTGCAGCTGTCGTGCAGTGTCAGCAAAGAGCTTTGCGTCTACGACAGTTTGTGTTCATTGAACAGTAGGAATGATTAATAAATCCATATGAAACAGTCCCGTAAAAGTCACGTCTCATCTTCAGTTTTGGCCTCAGGTGCATTTTGCACTCACACACAAGCGTACCGCGCCAAAGCTCAAGTGAACCGAGCCCGATTCAGAGCACTCACGGTTTTCAAACGATCCGGGAAACAGGCCTGGGCACGGTTCGGATAGCGTATTGTGAGTAGGCACTGACACAGACAAGGCAGAGATTGAGGCACGCTCTGACAGGCAAGTGGGAATGGTGGGCAGGGACCGTTAGCATTAAAGGCATCAAAAACAGCTACATTGTGTTCAGATCAGAAAATCCCAAACGTCTGAATGGTGTAATAAATAATCTGTTGGGTGTTTTGAGCTGAAACGTTACAGACACATTCTGGAGACACAAAAGAATTATCTTAAATCTTGAAAAAAAAAAAAGTAAAATAGGTGCCCTTTAAGGCTGTAAAACCCCTCACTACACTATAAGCATTAACATTTTCACACCTTTCTCTCTTATTTAAACATTTGCGTAACTTCTACCTTCCTTTAGCATGTCCAGAAGTCTAACTTTTTGTGCGATGGTTAGCATCTTCCTCTGTAGCATCTTCTCTTTGGGTGCTACCCACGGGTGCCTTTGACAGTTCAGAATGTTTTGTCGACATAGTGGGGTATGTTGGGGAGAGAACTTGCAAACATGTATAACACTTCACAGTCAAACTGCTAGCGATCAAAGATTTATGTCAATTTGGCAAGCTGAATGCATTCTGTACCGTACAGGAGACACAGCATGGAGCAGATTGATTGACAATTGTCTACAGCCAATCAGAACACAGAACACAACAATTTTTTATATTAAAATCATAACTAAAGAAGTAAGATTATGAAAATATTTCTTCACAAACTGGTGTAATGTATTATAGATATTATAATGTATTTTTTATTATTTTATAGTTTTTATTCATTGGCCACATTATTACACCTTTATCATTGCCTGTTTATTTTGGAACTCACATAAATAAAAACATGAACCTCAGCTGTGATTTTACAGAATTTCACAGCAAAAGAAAAAGATTTCCGTACAGTATTATGTCTTTTTTTCCAGGACAGATGTAAGAATAACTCAAATGGAAAGCAAGATAATTTTTTTAGTGTTCCAAATGTAAGTTTTTATTTTTCCCGTCTTTAGAGCATGAGCTCTTTTAATTTGATCAAATTTTCATAAAACAAGACTTGATTTTTCAAGTCATTTAGCTTGTTGTGGATATGAGTTTTAATTTGAGAATGATTCAATTTTTATACTGGGAGAAACGAGACAAGAGCAACCATACATATTTGACCCTTAGCGTTGCAAAGTTTTGTAATTCTGTAAAAGAGTTCCCACGCGCCCTGGAGAACAAAATGGTCTGTCCTGTTTTTCTGGTTATCTTTTCATTCCATGCCGCTACTAGGGGTGTGCAATATTGAACAAAGATATCTCAATATTTTCTAGGATTCTGCTGATAACAACCATATTGTGCATTAAAAATTACTGATATTTTATTAGCTTTCTTTAAAAATGTCAATGTATTAATTACTTAAAACTAAAGCAGTCAAGCGAGATTTATGATATGATTGTACACCCCTAACCACTACTGCCTCTCCACAATAAAATTTTTGCTCCACTTCAAGTAACATTCAGACATTAAATCATTCTCACAGACTACTAGGGTAGCACGTATATTGGTAGTTACTGATTCAGCACTAAGCTTGCGACTAATGTGTTGGACTGTTTGTGACCTACTTCCATCATAAATTACTTGTAAAAACTCCTGTCATGTCATGGAAAAGGATTTCTTAAAAAGAGTGGGAACCCCTAGTTTTGAACTATTTGAGGTTTTCACAGATATCAATGTGTTTTCTGGTTCTTAGGTGTTAAGGCTGTTGTTGGTGGCCTGGGATCGACGGCTGATCTTCTCTGTGGGAACCTCTAGCACCACCGGAGAATCGGACACTGTCATCTGGAACGAGATCCATCACAAGACAGAATTTGGCTCCAATCTCACTGGACATGGTTACCCAGATTCTGGTTATCTTGACCATGTGCTGGAGGAGCTTAAAGCCCAGGGGATCACTGAAGATGAGGAACAGCTCCTGTGAGGAGGACGGGGTGTACTCAAAGGTCAATGATGGTACTAGAGCAGAGGTGGCCAAGATCGTTCTTGGAGACCCCACAGTCCTAAAGAGTTTTGATCCAATCCTAATTAAGGCATAGTTCACCCAAAAATGACAATTCTGTCAACATTTACTCACCTTTCAATTGTTCCTAACCTTTTATGAGTTTCTTTTTTCTATTAAACACAAAATTAGGTCATTTAAAATAAGCTAAAAACATGTTATCACTGACTTCCATTGTAGGAAAAACAAATACTATGGAAGTCGATGATTACAGATTTTGCTTGTTAAGTCGTGAGTCGTGACGTATGAAATACTGTTTCCGGGTCCAAGCCGCTACTCATTTGAACTTAGAAAATATTCGTTGATGACCACGTTTTAGTCCCATCACACAATTAAGTGAATTTTATATAAAATCATGATGTACACAACAGTCACTGGCCCTGCTGCATCACAGACACCAATATTTTAACAATTTATAAAAAATGTGTCACTTTCTGACCATCGGATATTAGGCATGGATATGTACAGTTAATTATTTGCTCCCCTGTTTATTTTTCCCCAATTTCTGTTTAACGGAGAGAAGATTTTTTTCAACACATAATAAACATAATAGTTTTATAACTCATTTCTAATAAGTGATTTAATTTATCTTTGCCATGATGACAGTAAATAATATTTGACTAGATCAGGACACTTCTCTGCAGCTAAAAGTGACATTTAAAGACTTAACTAGGTTAATTAGGTTAACTAGGCAGGTTAGGGTAATTAGGCAAGTTATTGTATAACTATCAGTAAACATAGACTAAAAATAGCTTAAAGGGGCCAATAATTTTGACCTTAAAATAGTTCAAAAATGAAAAGCTGCTTTTATTTTAGCCAAAATAAAACAAATAAAACTTTCTCCAGAAGAAAAAATATTATCAGACATACTGTGAAAATTTCTTTGCTCTGTTAAACATCATTTGGGAAATATTAAAAAAAAAAAAAAGGAAAAAAATTAAAAGGTATATATTACGATCGTGATTTTCGAAAGTATTACAGCGCTTTGTAAACGTTTATTATTACCATTTGTTGAGTCTCCCCATACAGTTTGATATAGCGTTTGGACCTAGAATCTGCTTCCTATGATGTCACACTTAACAAGCGGATAAAACCATTTTTACACTACAGAAACTACTAGCACACTCCAAACATATACACAATAAAAATATGCTGCTTTAACCTTTATCAATAATGTCTTGGTGTAAATGTTTAACACTTATGCAGAGACGTTTAGCATTAAAAAATACTCTTTACTTTAATCCAAACAAGTGCTGTCTGCTGATGAAATGTTGATAACTGTACTCTGATGGGAGACATTCACAAAGTTTGTGTTGAAGATGAGGTCGTTTCTTCATGCAAAATAGTTTTGAGGATTGAAATAAAACTTAGTTGCTTTATTTTAGAGGTCTACTGTAAGAACATTAGGGTTAAAGTGTAGAAAAGAAACCAAAAAGATTCTATGTGACTTCAACTGTAATCACACAAAGCTCCAAAACCCCTTTTAGTTAAAACAAACAAACAAACAATAAACATTAATGCAACGCTGTTCATCTTTCCTGCTTCAGGTCAGGGTGTGTGTGTGTGTGTGTGTGTGTGTGTGTGTGTGTGTGTGTGTTTACTGTGGGCAGCAGTACGACATATTGCCATTAGAGTCAGCAGAGCGACACACAAACAGATTGTTGGTGGTAAACATACCCTCACCTGATGCAAAGAAAAATAGCTTGTATAAATTTTTTGTTCATTTAGAATATCATAATTTGTGTTCAGAAGGTGAACGAAGCTCTCAGGGGATTGGAAGGACACGAGGATGAGTAATAAATAACTAAATTATAATTTTTCATTTAATGACATTCATGTTTAATGAACCAACAATAAGAGGTATCAATTTAAAAATGATCCACATTCTTCAACTCTTCAGGACTGTGGCCCTCCTGGACCAAATTTTGTCACTCCATTATTAGAACCATTACTGTTTGATTAATGATGGAACTGTGGTGCTCGAATGATTCTACTAGAGGTACTAGGAGTACATTTACAATGGGAGCCCAGAAATATGTGTAAAAATATAAAAAACAATGTGACCAGTTAGTACGGATAACTGTAAATGAGGTACGAGCAGAGCAGATCTGATTTTTAATCTTAATATGAAGTACTTGAGCATGATGTAACACAACTAAGATGAGATTTGGTGAATGGTGAAAGATTTGGAAAGAATGAAGAAGCTTTGAAAGGCAGTAGAAAGTAAGGAATGGGAGGTGCAGAGGACTGGTGCTGGAGAGAAGGAAGATTAAGGAAATGCTGGGGATGGTTTTATTTGGTTAAGCAATGTTTCAGAGTTTGTGCAAGTTGTGTGAAATCTTTGTAAAAGTGGGTGTATTTTGTAAACTGTGGTACCTCTAACTGGATTACTTTTTCTGTAGTACTGAGAGTTGCATACGAATGCCTGTATTTTAGTTTATATTATATCATACGTCATTCCCTGTATTCAGTCTTATGTATTGAGAATTACTATTTTTGTACGGATGATGCAGTTTAGTGCGTGAATAAGATTCAGTTTTGCTGAATCGAAACTGAACTGAACTTTTGTTTTTTAAATATATATCAACTTGATTTTAAAATGAAAAAGTTTTATAAATCTTGAATTAATTTATGCTGGTTTCTATGAGCATGAGAACCCCAACTAAACGTTCTTCTTCAAATGATGTACTTTATGTTCCTGTATACAAAAAGCATCTCTAATTATGGAAACTTTCTGGCACAGAATTAAAATCAAAAGTTTGTCTTTAAGGTTTGCATCTTAAAGTTTGAATAATTAAAACTACTAATTCATTGTCACAACAGCTAATTAATATCAGAATTTTGTCATATTGTTCCGCGTCTTACTAGAATTAATCTCAGATTTGTGACTTTATCTATTGAAATTCTGAGAAGCAAGATTTAACGGTGCAGTAGGTGTTCTGCCTAAATGGCAACTGGTTAGCAAAATGTCTTTGAAACACAATCCCTCCTCTGCCATTCACGCCTCCTGAAACACGAACACGCACCTTAAAGATGACAGAGACCCACTAGATCATTGCATTCACCAGTAAGAAAAAATTAAGGTTAAGTCGGGGCTTAATTTGTGCCGGCACACGCCAGATTCAACACCTCTGAAATCTGATCCAGCACCTGATTTTACTGATCCCCCTCCTCAACCACCCTCCTCCCCCATCCGCTGTTTACTTTCACTTTCTCCTCAACCCTTCACTTTCATCCATGACAACCCTACACTCTTCACTTTCATCTTTTGTCCACGACACCCCTCCGCCATCCAATGCCCCTCTCCCCGCTCTCCAATATGTGCGCGACAACTCTTGATCCTTGGGTAACATGGCGGATCCAATACCCCGATTTGTTCCGCGAACTCGCAATTCACAAAAATTAAGCAGTGGTTAAAGTACTTAATAATGCTACAATTCCGAATGAAAACGGTTCATATATGTTTTATATGAAAATGTTTTATATCTAGCATGTTTTCAGTTGTGTAGCAAGCAGAACTTGTCATAATGTGCAATATTTCATGAATGCTAAGATTGCTGGTCTGAAGGCCCGTGCACACTGGGGCGCTTTTTGCTTGAGTTTTCCTTCGATGTGTAACACCTCATGACTAAATAAAGGGCGTCAATGTGATCACCAACGTGCAAATCGCCACGCGTAAAAGCGTATTTTTTTTTTAAAAAGACGCTCGTTTTTTTTTTCCACCAATCAGATTGGCACTTTTGTTCACATATATGGAGCAGCTTAAGTTACAGTAATCAGCACTTGGAGGCGCTCAAGCGCAAAACTGTCAATGCGAGCACACATTGACGAAGATGCCCAGAAGCGATATGAACGTGGAGCTGCTTATAGCATTTTTTCATTACTAGAGCTGGAGCCATCCATACTTGTTCGATTTGCCAGTAACTTTAACAACAATCGTGCAGTTTCTCTGTTCTTCTTCTGTGTTACAAGCGGATGTCCCAAGCTTAAAGTTGTGTAGCGCCATCTAACATCAAGGAGTGATTTTGCATACTCTTCTGCTCGACGCCAGTGAAAATCATCTGGGTTTGAATCCGGAAAAACGTCTCGAAAAACGCTGACTATAAACGCAAACGAAAAGCGGACTAGCCTTTACTCTCTCATGTGCTTTCTACTAAAGCAGCTGCTGTATGCTTAGTGTTTGGCCGGTGGGGTGCATAAATTACACTTATTACTAAGAAATACTTAGTAATTGATGATTGGCTCCTGTACCAGTAGGCGGGGCTTTATTCACCATATTGACAGTTACACTTTTCTCCATTCAAAAAGATACGAGTGACATAGCTCGTGTATTCTATAGTCTTTCTCTATAGTCTTAAACTAATTAAAAACATAACACAATCTACATCAGCTTTGCGTGACTAAAATAGTTTTAAAGCATAACATTACCTGTCTAAACGAACTACTTCAGCCATGGTGTCATCCTTCCTCCAGCGTGCAAAAGTAACACCAATATTGATTCGGGATTTTAAAACGTTTTGATTCAGAGTTTGTTTATAGCGCTGACACTTCTGTACATGTGAACCAACATGCACGCGAGACGGCGGATCTGTCTGCTTGAATGGACGCGCAGTTGTACAGATCTACATTTGTTGACAGACTGAATTATGGGAATTATTGACCTGCCAAATTTTAATTGGATGAACATTTTTGAGTCTTATGTCTTACCCAGAGTATCAAAATACATATGAATACAATAAATACATTAGAACATTTACTTTAATCAGTACTAATGTAAAGAGATTTTCAACCAGCACAACAAAAAAGTTTCTGAAGACAACCACCTACTGCACCTTTAAACTTTTAAAAACAGAATTGAGGTTTAATTGAAAAATAATTATTTGTGAAAAGCACTAAACAGAATGAAACTATAAAATTTATAACTATAAAAATTATAATTGAGATTTAATTGAAGAATAATTATTTGTGAAAAGCATTAAACAGAATGAACTTGAAAACTTGAATTGAACACTTTTTAAATTCTGCATAATTCATTAAAATTTAGCATATCAAATAAGAGTTGCAAGCTAAAGGATGAAAGGTACTGTTTTTGTGTGGCGGGGTTGCTTATTTCAGAGTGTTTAACGTTTCTATTTTATAAAACGTCACATTTGCACGGTACAGAAAGCCAATTTGTTGGTTTAAAAAATCTGCTTTACTTATCAAACAGCGATAACTGTGTTCAACTTTAATACAGAGGGAAGAAGCCTGAATGCCATAGCAGAAGGAATAGCACTTCGTAGATGGATAGAAAGATAGATGGATACTTTAATGATCCACAAGGGTCAGTTTTGTAATAGTTTGCCAAAATTCCTTGTACAGGAAGTTTCAAAAAGGTTTGGCCCCTTTTAACTGTCTCGCTGTCTTTATATCCTGATTTTAGGCCAGTCTGTGTTAGGTCAGTTATTGACCTGTTTTATAAT